TAATTTGGAGTCACGATATGGCACGTGTGACTAGATAAGTAGCAAAATAAAGAAAGTAAAAATTCTAGGTGTTTCGTAACATACTGAGACCCGACACGGATTTAGACCCATGATCTCGGGAGCCGGATCACAAAATTGATTAACTGATTGATTGACTGGGTCCCGGACGTAATTTCATGCTAATTAATTCTTCATAACTAAAAGTATTGTGGTACGCTCGATGAAGAATCCATCGTAAACAGTCACTTGCCCTAAGCTAATCACATACGTTCCTATTTTAGTATGGTAAAACAGATGCACCCGTTAGAATTACCAGAGCCACAAACGAGTGAAACGCTATTCTATGGCACAAACGAAGCATTCTTCCAAGCATTACAGTAAGTAGCTTCTTAAGACCAAGGAAACTCTAATCCTAAAAATATGTAAAACTGGTTCGTTCTGATAGAAGTAGATTTAAAATTTACACAGCATTTTCACTTCAAATAGGACGTCATGCAAACCAAATTTGACACACCGCATTCTAAGCAGAAAAGCAGCAACTTCTTAGAAAATAAGGAGTAAGGCGATTGAATTAGGTTCTGACCAAATTGTAGTTATGCTAATGCAATCGAATTGTGTAAGCAGCGGTTGCCAATGCAAACCTTTCTCCTGATCGTGAACCTCGGTCAAAGGCCGTGACTAGGTTTCCTCTCACCCCATCGGCCTTCGCGTAGTTTCTGTGTCTTTGCCTTTGCGCATGAACCTGTTTAGCTGTATGACTACTGGAAAGTCAGACTAAATCTAGTGCTCAAGAAGTGCCACTACGAGCTAGAGCGCGTCAACAGTCCCAAGACAATCGTAAGCCGGCAAACCTATGGACTTGACTTCCCGGTAGGCGCACTACATGACAAAGAGAAATGTATCTTCATAGATGTGAAAGGGTGCAATTTCCATCGGTGGCGGACACAGGCTCGCTCAAGAGGAGGGACACGCGCCAACGACCTCTTGCCCAGAGTCAGAGGTCGCATGGTGACGCTGATTGTGGCAGTGAATAAGCAACCATCGTCCATTCAAAGATCAACAACGATGGCATCTGCAGTGGTGCAAAGTTCTCAATGTTCGTCGAGGAACTTGTGGAGCGTATAGGCTGCAGATTAGAGATAAACGGTGCATGAATGATCATGGACAACTCCAGGATCCACATGCCGGATAATCTAAAGAGGATCTAAGGCTCGTCTTATCAGCTGCAGTTTCTGTCGCCCTACTCATCACCATCATTATACACGTAAGCTAGAGGTGGAAAACACTTCGGCTACTGTGCCGCGATAGATAGAAAATATGCAACAGATGCATGCCAGCTTAGCTACCAGTAACGGATGGGCGTCGTTTCGGAAAGCCCTACTCGTACATACTAAACTCAGTAGAACACGTGTGGACAACTGAAATGATATTGTAAGTGTTCTGCCGAACGAACCATACGGCACTCCTTATTGTGAATCGGAGTACCCGTGCTGCCTCTGATTATTTCACTGACGCCTAGTTTCCTAGTATCAGTAGTGCGGAGCAGCTGAGAGAGTTTGCGATAGTACCCTACTACTCCAGCCTCCTCCGTTTTTTGAGCCCGACTGGTCGACCAGGCTCCCTTGTCAGCACGCAGGCTCCGTTTTAGTCCTCATATAATAGTCCGTCTGGTAACATGGTGCTAAGAGCCAGTCGGGAGGTTTCTTCTGGATTCCAACAGGTTCATCGACCTCGGATATCCAGTGACTGGTGCGGTGACTACTGATAGTACCACAAGTAGGTGCTCCGGCGTCGTACATAGCGACTGAGATCTTATTCCATTGAAGCTCAGTGTCATTAGGATAAGGGAGCGAAAGCTCGGTACGCAGTGCAGCTTGGGAGTCTTGCCTGGTCGAGAGCTGAGATAACTTCTCATTGCCAATCGGGGGAGCGCTTGGTGCGCCTCCCGGTAAAGTACATGGAAAAGCGACAGTGCACTAAGGCACGATCAGAATCGACGCGAGTAATCTAGTACGAGGGACAACCTAGGATGAAACCACGCCACCTGTAGCTTACGGCAATATGATTTAGTTGGGACCATCGCTGGCCAGCTACAGGATGACGTCAAGTGGCACCTCGGCGCCCAGTGTGTCTGAAAGCAGTGCTACTAAGAAACAGTGCTGCTGAGATGCTCCGCAAACAGTTGCAAAAGACGCTCGCCGTAATCCGTATGGTTGGAGTTAAACCCATATGTACCACCTAGCTGAGCATCTGAAGAGCCCATGCGACCTACGTGTGCATTCAGATCCCCTGTAAGTATTATGATATCTGAACTGGAAGCACTGCGTAGCAGCGTGTTCAGTTTATGATACAATGTATTCTTGGTAGCATCAGAACTGCAGTCGGTGGGAGCGTAAGCGGAAACTACAAACAAACAGTGTCTTGTATATTTTGAGAATCGACCTTGGTCGATGTCGTCAAACGGGCTGCACACAAACGGCTGTTCACCGGAATTCAATTAACCAACGATGACTCAGCTTTGGAGCTGAGCACCATACCTATCTCAGCTTGACCAGAGGCTGCCGCATCAGTGTTTGGATGCGTGTAAATAATAGCGAGAGGACAAGCCGGGTGAAATTCATTCAGAAACTCCATGAGTCATTGATCCTAGTTTCGGATACGCCACACACATCAATACCCAATGTTTCTGAATTGCGTGCGAGTGTAGACTGTAGACCTATTTGTCCTAAAGTGCGAACGCTGAACGTCACCAGGGAAATGGGATAGCGTGGCCTTATAAGGGACTGTTGCCGACAGGCGTCCAGTGGGTGGTGCCGGAAGATAGTTGCAGATGGTTCGACCACATTGGTGTTACGACTGTTGTCAATTAAGCTGGGTTCGATAGAAAGTAGGTTAGTAATGGGGGCTGGAAGAGGAGTAAGAAATATAGATGGAAAAGGAGGCGCCAGCAGCAGCATGTTTCCTTACCCGCCCTGCTGTGTGCAGCAGACAAGATGACTCTTGATAATCTGCGCGACGGCCGATGCAGGATGTCGTTAAAGCTTGAAGAAATTGTGATGGTTGTGAGTAGCCTGAGACACTGCCAGGGCGCACAGACCTCGACAGGATGACGATTAGGGTCCTCAACCAACGCCTTTGGCTCAAAAGCCTGACCGCAAGGCAGCGGGGTGACAATGAGTTAGTTCTACAGAAATGGACGCCATCCCTTTTCAAACCATCAATCTGGAGGACCAGGAGACTGGGTATGTCTGACCTTTAACCACCGACCAACCTGGTAGGAGTAGCTATCAAGGGACCCGGAGGCGCCACGCAGTATAGCTCAATGCATCAAAGATGTGCGCAAACCGTCGCACTATGTTAAAGTCCAGTCTGAACAAATTGCTACATTATTATACGCGTTAGCTAGAGCTGGAAAACAGCTATTGTGCCGTAAACAAAGTGCAGTAGTAGGCCAATAAAGCTAAACTACGTTAGGTTGAGTCATGACAGCCCACACTGTTCCAATAGTAGAGCAGTTGAACAGGTTCGCCCATACATGCACACAAAATACGTGAAGCGACAGAGGTAAACTGGATCATCGTCCATCTGCTTCATCAGTAACGGTTCCAGTGATCGAAATGGCCAAGATTCAGGTCATGGAGTTGGCTTTCTACCAGCTCCTGCTACATGACTGCTATCAATCCTGCACTGAAGATGCCACCTCGAACGGTAGCGAAACGTTTGCAATCAAGTTACCCAGCTCGGAAAACACCACAATCGAACAAAACTTACTTCAATGGGAATCTCGATCCACATTGAGATTGCGCATCGCAATTCATCCACAAAGCGAGTGCTTCACAACGACCCTCCAATGCTAGGCAAAATTTGTTTAAATCATTATAGACTACGTGAATCAATTGTCTGACTTTCCAATAGTCACGCAGCTAAACAGGTTCATGTGCAAAAGCAGACACAGAAACTACGCAAAGGCAGATGAGGAGAGATGGGAAACTTAATCACCGTCTTTGATCGAGATTCACGATCAAGAGAAGGGATTGCATTGGCAACCGCTGCTTACACAATTCGGTTGCATTAGCATGACTACAGTGTGGTAAGAACATCGTCCAGTTGCCTTACTCCCCAACACTTGCTAACAAATTACTGATTTTCTGCCTAAAATGCAATGTGTCAGATTTGGCTTGCAAAACGTCCAATGTGATTTACAAAACGTTGAAAGTGGTTTGCAAAACGTCTAATCTGTTTTGTAATATGGCCAATACAAAGTGAATATGACATTTGCGTGCAGGAGAGAAGTGATGCAAACACATTAGATCGGAGTATCAGAAAGGTTAAAAGACCACCAACTAAGCGTACAAAATTTGAAAAATGACTTACACGGGAGTGACAGTGGATTAAGACGGGCCACGTGCACTGGTTACCGCAATGCATCTTAACCATATGGACAAGGTGTTGCAGAAGGTAGAATATACTGGCTTTGTCGTTGCGTTGCAGCTGACTTCTAGGGGTTTGAAAAATACGTAGAAATTCATCACATTTAGACTCAGCCAGCAAACGCTCGGAAAAGCACTGTACGGTAATCGTCAGCAGTGCGTTGTTGTGGATCCGAGGCCCACACAGAACAGATGAAATGCGCACTGCTGACGATTGCAGAAAGGATTAAATGGCTGCACAGTGCTTTTCATGGCGTGTGATGGCTGTCTGATTGAGTCCATATGTGATGAAGTTCTGCCTATAACATTCAAATAGAAATCGGTAGTACAATGGACTGATTTTTTGAATTTCTACTCATGTAAGGAGGTGAAACCAGTTCGCGTCACACCAACTTACATAGCCTTTTTTCAAAAAGAGTAACTTGAAAGCAAACGGAGTTGTCTACTGTCCAACGAAGCCACCCGAACTAAGCCCGAAGATGGTGAATTTGAATAGCTGAGTCAACATGACAGGAAAAATTTTTTACATCACTAGACGTCATCCAGAAGCAGGAGAAAATCATAACGTACACTGCCTTCGACTAGTGCGTTAATCACATTTCCAAGGGCCGAAAGGGATCTGTTGATATTTTTCGCTTCGTCCAAAACCATCCCCTCAGCACCGGTCTTTGCCACTTTTTCGCTGCCCGCCAAGTCAACCAGATACAGCTTTCCGTGCAGCTTCTTTTGTGTTTCTAAATTTTCTTGTCGAACGGTGATCATGAAGACGGAATGGCTTCGTGAACTGTGTTCATTCATGTCTGACAATAGAAATGATTCAATGCTTAGCAGTAGCGTGGAGGGTGACTTCAGTGAACAAATAAGCTGGCCAGTTCGGGTCATCAAGAAAGTAAATTAAGAAACAAGCACACAAGATGCGAACCGGTAGAAGTTTGTATCGTACATGAAGGACAGCTTAGATTGCTTATCTGTGACCTGTGGAAAGTGTCAATGCGGCAATACGTGTAGTGTTGAAGATATGCATCTGAATATCTATGTGATTGGACGCAACCAAAAGTTGGGAACTATTCTTAAGAACATGAAAGTTGCCACTCAGTGATTGGCGGCCCCGTGTTCCGCGACACAAGCAGACTACGGGGTTGATCCACCCCCAGTTTACATCCATGGATTCAAGGTGTACAGGTTCAAATAAAAAGTGCCACAAACATGGCCCAGTGGGCGTGGTCTCATGAAACATGTTAGGAGTATGGAATGCCAGGCCAGGAAAATTTGACAGTTTGACCGCTGCATAGACTAAAGGATTCAGATAAAGGCATCCACAAAGGGCCTCAGTTTGTGTTGCGCCCAGTGGTGAGTAATGTTACCTGGGTGAATCAATTACTTTCATTCGTGAGACGGAAACAAAAAATGACAAGAATTTGCGTAGCACTCTAAGGGATACAGTAGGTAATAATAGTAATAATAATAATAATAATAATAATAATAATAGTGTCGGATAGCATGCCATAACGGCGTCTCGCTGCCGCGTGATCACCACCAGTCGCGCTTGGGCTGTATCCCGCGAGGACGCCCGCTCCTACGCGGCTTCGAACCGGTGATCTTATGATTGCAAGTCAGGCGTGCAGACCAGTCGGCCACTGGCCTGTACAACAACCACGCTAAATTGGTTAAACGAGTATGAGTGACTGAGAGTCTTAAGGGGCATACGACCTGTGGCGAATGGCAGAGTGGCCATTTTGCGAATGACATGTAGAAGTAACCGCTTACCTACCCAAAATCAGGCAGCGCAGAAAGATTCCGGTTAACTGACAAATATAGCTAATGTGAGTCTTAAGCCGCGTCATTTATAGAACAGTTGCAAAAAAGTCATCTAAACACAGTGACGGGAAACAGCGCTTAAGCTGCTAGGCAATGCAATTGCCACTCGAGCAGAGTTCCAATGCTGTTTTCCAAAGAGCCTGGTTTCTGAGTGGTCTATCATAAACAATCTTGGAATGATTGGTGATAGGCGTTTTCGTAGTCAGAGGTATCAGCAGGACGCCGGCACGAAGTAGCAAGGCTTCGCCGTCGCGTACTCACCACGTTGCAATTGGGCTAAGGATATTGCGAGGGCCACCCGGTCCTTAGACTGCCTCGAACCCACCACCTCGGATTAAAAAAGGCTTGTGATCCTTAAGGCGACGGGTTACAGTATCTACTAAACCCGTTCATCTTCGAAAATGACGTCCGATTGTACGCCCAAAAAGAAAATACCGTACTCCACTCTCTCGAGAACTACTGTGAGAACCAACGTGTAAAATTTAGCGTCACCGATAGTAAACAAGAAAGGAGTAAAGAATGGGATTTACATGGTTATCAGGTTATAGCAAGCAAACCTGATCGGACACCTACCAAACAGCAAGAAAAAGTAAGGACAAACAAGTGATGACCGCCACCACTCCATGTACTAAGAGCAGACTTCGGGGGAGATCTAGAAAGTTCCGGCGTCGAGTTGTAGCTCTTACCTCTGCCTGACGAGCACAAATAAGTACGAAAGCAGCGGTGAGTGCAGCTTGGCCAATCTACGAACGGTCACTATAACAGACCTTATCTGCAATTCGCATCCCCGTGTTCGACGATGGGATCAGAATCGCGAATTGACTGGTAGGTCTTCGCAGTGGACGATATACGTCAATGTGATAAAGTAGCGATGTGGTCGGCACCAAGGTGTAAAACCTATCGCTATGACACAAGAGATAGAGTAACTCACTAAAGCATAATTTTAGCAAGTGGCGGGTACTCATATGATAGCATCACGAGGTCATCACGATTGATGTAAACACAAAAATAGTGCAGACGCTCATTACAACCAGATATACCAAAGATCTCAGCAGTACGCCTGAACAATGTATGGAAGTTTAACTGCCAGGCAGCCAATGGTGCAGGCCGTACTATTGTCTACTAGTTTGGAGATTGCATCAGAATATGAGGCTTGAGTAGAGACTTCAAATGTTCTCGCGATACCAGCCAAATTCGCTTGCATCACAGATACTGGTAGTCATCTGCAAGCCACTAACACGTGTTCGAACATACGTGTTCCCACCCAACGGGTGAATCGATAATAGTAGTAATGTACAAGAAGAGTCACATCTTTTGGTGTTAACCATAGTGTTATTACTTTGAAGCTGGTATTAGCAGCCACAGGCCTCAATTTTCGCCCGTCCACTTACTGAGAGACCAGAATCACGGCGTCATGCCAGCATTCAGCAAAGAACGTGATGCTTTCAGCAAGCAATTGATAATAAGTGCAGGTGAGATAAGTACCACGAAGAATCGGCTAGAGGGACTCGAAAGCACCGATGGTGACAAGAACAAAATTTACAAACACAGCGAAGTAACATGATTATAAATTATACGATAAAATACATGGCACATACATTTAGTGTTACAAAAGATAAAAACCCCAATTCGCGATCTAAAGCATTTCGGAAGGTCCCGGCACTATTACTCATAGAAGACGAAACAATAACCATCATGGTGGCTCAGTGAGTGCAAGGACATTCCTAGGACACTAGTCCCTAAGGACGACTTATTATCGGAGCATTATTTCACAGCCAAAACAGTGGTCCCTTGTAACGTTATGCTGATTCATACTTCTTACTAGAAAACCACCGGAAAATATGCATACTACTCACTTTACGCAACTGCAGCTAACGACCACGAAGTTGTTACAAGACCAACCAGAGTTAACTTGATGAAGCGGGAGAACAAAGCTTAATGTCCAGTAACGATTCACATTTAACAGTACACGTAATAGTTGTGATACGACCAAGTGTTGCATGACTGATCTCGAAATCTGTTTGCCTTGTATGGTCAGAGTAAAAGCCTCTCAATGCGATGTGCAACACGTACTTCGATATAAATTTCGTGTTTAAGCAATTAAGTGTGAAGTCACGCTGCGGATAAACGGTAGGAAGGATGCCGCGGATAACTTATGAAAGGAGCGCAACAGTGACGAAGACAAGTTTATCCAGGATTCATCATAAGGCGAGTGACGGCTTGATGACCGAGCGCCAGCAAAAAATTTTAAGAAGCTACCAATTAAGTATAATGGGTGGCGATTACTATCAAACAGTATGGAACACGCACTTGTGACCGCGACATGACGATTAACTTTCCCCTCATCAATGACATCAAAAACTTCTTCCGGACTTGAAACAAAGCGTTCGGTTGCACCCTGTGAGGAGAAACTGGACAAACCATGCGGAAGCTTACTTTGACGTAGGGAACTCGGTCTTTGTCCTCGTGAACCGAAAGATTCGTTTTCGACACTAATAAATTTAAAACATATATATTGGAGGTTTACCGTCAAGTAGATCTCGGATCTTGTCCATATAAATCTCGAAGTAAGAAACCTAAGGATGAAACTCGCATCCAAATAATTGTACCTTGATGTGGAACTCAAGATTTTCGTCCATCTGATAAATGTGGTTAAAGATATCATGAATGATCCTAGGTATGACACCTTGAAAGACGGTATCCCCCAAAATGCCCTAAAACTGTGGACGAAAAAGCGAAATTTACCTCCATTGTGAACGTTTTACCGCTGGAGGTTTGTCCATAGGCGAAAATAGTACCGTTATACCCATTTAAAACGTCCGCCACAATAGGTTTGGCGACGATATCATACACTTCTAATTGGGTAGCTTTCGGTTGAAAGACATGGTCAAAGGCGAATGTTTTCCCCTAATGATGGGAAGTGTTAGAGTTGCCGAAATTAGTAAATTCGCAACATTCAGTCAGCAAACTCACTCCTAAAGAGATGCTGGATTTACCATCACCAGGAAAAGACACCACAAATCTGCTATCACTCGCAATTTCAGCATCGTTAAGTGGTCGAACACGGCAAATGACTTTGATACTCTCCGACATTGTAAGATGTCCCGTGGTACAGCCAAATTCGAACAGTGCGCCCACCACAAAGTGATGTCGGCATTGATGAAAGAATAACAATCGCGCTTTTAAAGATGGCTTCAGCCCATTAAGGCAACAAACAGTTTCGCGACTAATTTCTATAACAGCTTTTAGCAAAGTTCAGGTATCAATGAAGTTGATGGAGGTGACGGTTGACAAATGACTCATTAAATTGTTCATTTGCGTTGTTGTAGAAAGCAGGAGTGGGGGCCTCGTCAGTCCCACTGATTCCGTATCATACTGCGTTTGATGCGCTTCGTTGCATTACCCCGTTCCTCGAGGGTTCGTCTCAATTGCAGTGACAGCCGCAAGATTCCAGCGAAGTTTGGTCTAGCAGCCGCTTGAAACTCCTCGGATGGCGCGTCTGTACTTTCTTCCGGTTGGCTCTTTCAATCACTCACTACTCTAATTGATACGGTGACGTGCATTCAAATTCTGTGTCTTCCTTGCTTAAATAGTTTGCATGTGTGACCGCTGTGGAGCAGACAGTGTTGGGTTGGAAGTATTATTGTAACTCCCTTCCAAGTTCTCTAAAGATGCGTCTAGTGTTGATGAGATCACTCCGGCGACGGCGTAACTCGAGGGAGAACAGCGTTAGCAGCTGGAGTCGAAAGGGGTGCGGGTGAGCACAAAGCCACAGAACAGCTTCCGATGTGCGTTTATGAACCTTTTCCAGCATAGCGCATTCAAACTGTGAAACCGAATGAATAGCTGGTGGACCATTTTCTAAGACTGGACGGGCGTGGGAAGTGAACAAAGGTCGAAATATCCCAGGAGTCATTCGAGCGAATGATCTTCTTAAGGCACGCACCGGTCTCGTTCCAGTGGCCACCTTCTTCAACGTGAAGTGCGTCGTCCTAAGGTCAGTAGTCACGGTAACCCCGAAAGGTCTCGGGAATGGTATTCGTGGGGAGGAATCCGCTAGCTGGTATGCACCGTGCGGTTCATCGCTATCCATTAACAGAACGACGCATGTAACTAGTTTTACTAACGACTCCCACTTGTTGGACCATTCGCGCAGCTAGCCTAGAGCCCCTTGTAATCTATCCGCATCATCAGGAGTGGATACTGTTGCCCATGGCTTGAGGTCCGGCGTAGGTCAAGCAGACGGTTTGGAGTGCAGTCGGCGGTTCGTTAATGTACGGTTTGAAGGGCTCTGGTCCAAGCACTGATACTTAGCGAATGCCACTAGTTATAGGCACTGGAGCAGAGATGGTTTGGTCCACTTGTACGCGCATTGTCCAACCTCTTAAAAAAGCAGCATTTCAAGAGAGATTTCCTGTATATAGTCACCTCCACCTCTCGACCCACTCCATTTGCCCTCCTAAAATTAGCTGTTGGACTCAATGTCGTTTCGCCGACTAATCCTGTCTCGTCTGTTTGGTCTCCTGCTTTCCAACTTCTCTCAGACTCCTGTGACATTACTAGCCATCGTTCAGATGACTGAGCGCCGTTCGTATCCAATCATTCTTCAATCGGACGAGTGAGTCTCTGTCATCCGTAACTCAGCCTCAGCTGATCAGCCAAATTCTATGGGACTGCTACCAGGCTACCGGGATGTTAGCGGTCTAGGCTCCGTCGATCCAAAGCACTTCCTCCATCACCTTGATATCCTGCTGAACTTGTTCGCCCTATGTTGATATAACCACTTTTATCTCTGACCAGTCCGATCCTACTGACTCCACTTACCTTCCCAAATGAACCATAGGACTCAATCACAATGCGCCGACCAAGTCCAACCTTGGCAGATCGGTCCTCTTCTCTCCTACTTCTGCGACGCTGCCTGCTATGCTCGGAAGACTGAATGCTCTGTCACCATTACCTCTAGAGCCTCATTAACTGTCGCATTTCTTATCCGTAAACGTAAACTCTCAACTCTGTCCTCTCCTTATCGCGGCCTGTCTTTATTTCTTCTTCATCCGCATAGCGAGCTCTCAGAGCCCCGCCCTATTATCCTCTTTGACTGCTTCTTAACTAGCGAAATGTAGTTTTAGGCTCTGTATCACCATCACACAACTTCTCTCACATTGCGAGCCTGCCTGACTTGCATACCTTATATTCATTTAGCCGCTTGCATCCCAACCCATCCGTCTCCGCTGACTCTTTATTTACCTTCCCACCTCAACTGTACTACTTACTCTAAGTGTGCCAACTAATCCAGTCTCGTCTGATCGGTCCCCTGCTCTCCGAATTCATTCAGACTGCTGTGACGTTACCGGCATTGAATGAGAAGTGCGAACGCTCTGTCCCCACTACCTCTCGAGCCCCATGGACTTTTCCACACCTTTTAACTAAACCTCTCCCTATCCGGATCGTCTCCTTATGACGTTCTCTACCTTCAAACCTTCTCTAATCGGACTGCCAACTCTGTGCCCAGTAATAACCTAGTCTCATCTGACCGGTCTGCTTCTTTGACCCTTTCCAGACCAGCAACATTTAAACGGTCTAGACTCTGTAGACTCAAGCTATATCGCACTTACGTTGACAGCCTGCTAGACTTGCTCACCCTCTATTTATATAGTCACCTCCACCTCTCGACCCACTCCATTTGCCCTCCTAAAATTAGCTGTTGGACTCAATGTCGTTTCGCCGACTAATCCTGTCTCGTCTGTTTGATCTCCTGCTTTCCAACTTCTCTCAGACTCCTGTGACATTACTAGCCATCGTTCAGATGACTGAGCGCCGTTCGTATCCAATCATGCTTCAATCGGACGAGTGAGTCTCTGTCATCCGTAACTCAGCCTCAGCTGATCAGCCAAATTCTATGGGACTGCTACCAGGCTACCGGGATGTTAGCGGTCTAGGCTCCGTCGATCCAAAGCACTTCCTCCATCACCTTGATATCCTGCTGAACTTGTCCGCCCCATGTTGACATAACCATTTTTATCTCTGACCAGTCCGATCCTACTGACTCCACTTACCTTCCCAAATGAACCATAGGACTCAATCACAATGCGCCGACCAAGTCCAACCTTGGCGGATCGGTCCTCTTCTCTCCTACTTCTGCGACGCTGCCTGCTATGCTCGGAAGACTGAACGCTCCGTGCCCATTACCTCTCGAGCCCCGTGGACTTTTCCACACCCTATAATTAAACCTCTCTCTATCCGGACCGTCTCCTGTCCTTATGGCCCCTCTACTATCATTTCTTCTCTAATCGGACTGCCAACTCTTAGTGCCTTGTACTAACCTAGTCTCATCTGACCCGGTATGCTCCTTTGACCTTTTCCAGACTAGCAAGATATACCGATCTAATCTCTCTAGACTCACAACTATGTCTGGCTTACATTGACAGCCCGCTAGACTTGTTTACCCTTTACTAATATAGGCATATCCATCAGTAACCTGTACTCTCACATCTTCAATCGGATGATCGACGCTTAGTGCCATGCCCTTCTTTGTCATCATCTGATCAGTGTAATTCTCTGGGACTACTACGAGGCCTCCGGATGTGTCGACTTCTCGAGTCTCGTCTGTTTGGTCACCGGCTTTTAGAGTTCTCTCAGATTACCGGGATATTACCGGTGCTATTTCAGCACTGAACGTTTCATACTTCGCACGAGAGCGTCCTTGGCTCACCACACTTTAGTAGTAAACCTTTTTCATCCTGACTATCGTCTCTCAATTGCTCTCATGAGTTACTCTTCGCAATACCGTCCGCATTCTTCCGCACATAGCTGATTCCTTAAATTTCCTTTTCTTCTTGGAACGTTGCTTTACCTATGTTGCTCCCACATTCGGTCTCAACCTTGTTGTCCTTAGTTTCACCTAAGATGCCGCTCGCATTCGGTCTGCTGTCATCATCATCGGTTTACCTGTTACTCTCCATTACTCATATTAATCGCTTAACGTTGTCTACACGCTTTGTTATACCCTTCTTTCTACCTAGTAGTTGTAGTCTGAGGCACACCAGCGACGTGATGTAAAGAACGCGCTTCCAAATCATGTATACTAAACAAAATTACATAAATTTTAATGTATCATTGGCACCGTTGCACGCCACCAGTCTGTGTTTGTGCTTCTTGCTTCGTTGCTGTCTTTCTGTTTGGCTGCCTCTTGTTCGTTGCCCGTTTTCTCTCGAGATTTCCACAGATACATCCGCCAAAACAAGAAGGTTTATCCACTGGGACTGGTCGACCCACACTCAATAGCCAGCTGGTTTACATGCTTGTTCTTTTCTCCGGGAGATGAAGAACCCACACATCGTTCCAAATGGAGCTCTTTCCGCCATTCTGGAGAAGCTACCACCACGGGGTCTAAACAAATGGGTTTAGCTCGCCTCGTACTCACATTACCTGGATCCACTGTTCCACAACCGGAGACTGACAATTCTGGCGTGATTACATTCACTGCCTCAAACATTCCGCTTCTCCAGTCACCTGGAGCTTTTCTGATGTCATTTCACGGACAGCACTGCGCGCGCATAAGCGGCTTTTCCGATGATTTTTCCTGGAGCTCTCACTTGGTTATGGAGACAATTACACTTACATTTGAAGGAAATACTTGTCCACTTCGCGGAGAATAGCATTTATTCCTGTTTTGGACATATTCAGACACAAGAAACAACTGCACTCACCGTCCCTATGACAAGTCCAGCATGGATAGCTGGACACGGGTTGCGAGCCGGACAACATAATAGAAAAAGCCGGCCTCTATTAACAATATGTTTACTCACCTGCATCATTTATCATTCGACTCTGCGACTCTTTTACATCATTGACTAGCTTCAACGACTATTGCCGGTTCAGTACTAAGCCATTTGGCCAACCAACGAAAAATTTTGGCTGTCAACCGACTGCGAATAATAGAGTGCAAAATCAGTCTATACGATGTATAGCCGACTAGCACTACAGTTCAACGGAAGCTACGACAGTGTTCCAGGACGTGGTGGGTTTTCGCCTGGCAAGCGTTCTCCCTATAAAAAGCCACAAATGTCCGCTTAACAACACTGCAACGTGGCGGATGTGACTCGCCACAAAATAAAGTCACT